TTGACTTAATATTTTAGAGCAGCTTCATAGCAAAATTGCACAGAACAGAGAGTTTCTGTATGTCCCCTCCTCCTTCATGCACAGCCTTCCCCGTGATCAACATTTTTACAATCAGTGAGCCTACATGGTGGCATCATTGTCGCCTAAAATCCATAAGTAACATTAGGGTGCACTCTTTATGTTGTCCCTATGTTTTAATTCTCTTTATATTAGCTGTAATTGTCCAAAAGTTTCATATTCAGAAGTTTTAAGAAATCATGAACAATGTTAGTATTTGAAAAACTTAAAACTTAAATATGCTGTACATATTTATTAACAACCAAATTTTATTTATCAACATTAGGAATTCTTTTTTGGTCCATCAGTCTCTAAGTTTGTAATTATGTTTCACAATTTTGCTTATTGCCTGAGCAACAGTCAATTATATAGTTATTAGAGCAGTAATTAATCTAGTTTATATGTTAATAATATAAAATTGAAGCTCTTATACTATTAAATAAATTACAATAAACATGTTGAGTTCAAAAGATAAAGTATGTTTCTTGTTTTTAATATTGGTTTAGAGAGAGGGGAAGGAAGAGGGAGAGAGAGAAACATCAATGTGACGAAAAACATGGATCGGCTGTCTCCTGCAATAGTAGGAATTTTCTATTAATAGGCTTTCCCCCAGATGATTGTAGAGTGCTACTATTTTACTATTATAAAATGCCATGCAGAATATTTTCTTTAAAGGAAAACCAATAGAAAATATATCAGTGTTCTCAGGTAGAGATAGTAAAGAATACTTACTGTTAAGAATAGCTACCCAAAATATTTGTTTAAGCTATTTTCAGTATACTGTAGTCATTTCAGTATACTCTATTCATTTACAACTCAAGTTGTAAAGACAATAAAAATTTAGTTCATTTACGTTTTGAAGCAATAGTATGTAAAAAAAAAATTTATTGCAATTGACCCTGGAATTCAGGTAAGATCCTGAAATTCACTCATGTTCATATATTTGAGTTTTTAGCATCTGTAAGCCATTAATCATTTCTGTTAGGCATATCATCTTTATTGTGGCCTAACATCTTTGTTGTGAAGTATTTGGAGGTTTATGTCATCAAGAAAAGTATTTTAGCCCTAGCCAGTGTGGCTCAGTTGGTTGAGTGTCGTCCCATGCACCAAAAAGTTGCCAGTTTGATTCACGGTTGGGCCACATGCCCAGATTGCAGGCTCAATCCCCAGTAGGGGGCTTGCTTGCAGGAGGCAGCCGATCCATGTTTTTCCTCACATTGATGTTTCTCTGTCTCCCTCTTCCCCTTTCTCTAAACCAATATTTAAAACAAAACAAAACGAAAACCATACTTTATCTTTTGAACTCAACATGTTTATTGTATTTACTTAATAGTATAAGAAGAGCTTCAATTTTACATTCTTAACATATAATACCTTTTATTTAATCTGAAGAATGATTCTTAGTCGTATATTCAGAAACATTCCAATTTAAATGTTGATGTAAAATATGTCTACTTAATCTTTTTTTCCTCCTTCTACAAGGTATTTACTATGCAGGATCTATTACAACTTATTAAAATTAACCCCGAATCCAGTCTCTACAAGTCAATGAGAGAATTATTTAATTTTTGTAACTTGCTTTGATTTTTTTATTTCACCCAAATAGTGGCATAAAGGTAAAATATTTTCTTCAACAGATTTCAGGAGTTGATAAAACAAAAAAGGTAAGAGTTTTTATCTTTATGGAGGTAGTAGAGGCCCGGTGCACGAATTAGAGCACCAGTAGAGTCCCTTGATCTGGTCTGTGGGATATGGCCGAAACTGGCTCTACGATATCCCATGTGGGGCCCCAGATTGCGAGAGGGCGCAGGCCAGGCCAAGGGACACCACCAGTGCAAGATTGGGGCCAGGGAGGGATGCAGGAGATTGGCCAGTCAGGGTGGGGGTCCGCAGGAGAGCTTTAGGGCATGTCCGGACTGTCTCATCTCACTCAGTCCCGATCAGCTGGACCCCAGCAGCAAGCTAACCTACCAGTCTGTGCCCCGGTGGTCAGTGCACATCACAGTGAGCGGTTGAGTGGTCTTAGCACATCCTATCTAATAAAGAGGGAATATGCAAATTGACCAACATACCATCACAAAGATGGCAGTGCCCATAGCCACAAGATGGTGGCACCCAGTCCCTTCAGCCCTGCCGGAGTCCCCCAGTCTTTCAGCCTTGCTGGGGGGTGGCAGATGCACGGTGCAGCTGGACCTGCCCTCAGCTTCCTAGCCACCCAGGGCTGGCCCGAGGCGCAGGCAAGCCTCGGATGTCGGCTGCCCAGCCAGCCTCCCAGGGCCACCCGAGGCTCGGGTAACCAGGGCCGGCTGAGGCTTGCACTGCCAGCAGTGGCATCAGCAGAGGTGTGATGGGGGCGTCACCTTCCCCTGATTACTGGGTTGCCTCCAACCCCTGAGGACTCCTAGACTGTGAGAGGGGGCAGGCCAGGCTGAGGGACCCCCCTCCCATGCATGAATTTTCAGGCACCAGGCCTCTAGTCATTAGCATATTATTGGTTGAATGGACACTTAGCGTATTAGGCTTTTATTATATAGGACCAGAGGCCTGTTGCAGGAAGATTCCTGCAAGATTAGGGCTTCCTGGGGCCTATTCCTGCAAGAACAGGGCTTCCTGAGGCCAGAGTGAAGCAGAGAAGGGAGCGAAGCCAGAGGCGGGCTTCGCTCCATCCCATCTCCGCTGCCTCGGCTCCCTCCCTTCCCCACCACCTTGGCTCCCTCCCTTCCCCGCCTTGTCAGCTCCCTTCCTTCTCTGCCACCTCGGCTCCCTCCCGTGTCCGCTGCCTCAGCTCCGCTCCCGTCTCTGCTACCTCCAATCCATTCCCTTCTCCACCGCTTAGCTCCCTTCTTCAGTGCTTGGCTTCCTTCTACAGTGTCTTCAGTCTTTGCTGGGTGCCTGTGTATGCAAATTAACCATCGTTGTTGGGTTAATTTGCATACTCTTCTGATTGGCTGGTGGATGTAGCGAAGACACAGTCAATTAGCATCTTTGTCTTTTATTAGTGTAGATATAGGATGAACCTGGAGCATCTTACAGTGCCAGCACTCAATTGTTCAAGAAAAGAAAAATCCACATTGAAAGAGCTCCCAAAGGCCAAAGTTGGGTTTATAAAAATAATGAGTTATATGATAGTATGAGTTATAATCCAAAGTATAAAGTAAATGTCCATGAATCCATACTGCTATAGATATGTGGTTAAATAAATAAACAAGACTAGACAGATCTTTCTTAGAGGGGTTTGTGTGGGAAAGCAGGGGAAAGTGGGATTGTGGCACTAATAGGGGCCTACAGAATGGAGAAATGGTAGCAACACTAGAAAAACTGATGCTGGAGAACACATCTCTAAAGGTAACTTATTGTGGGATCTAAGGAAAATTTCTGCCAATTGTTTACCTTTTCTGTCAAGGCTGCTAAGATATGGATGGCCTCAGCATTATAATACCCAAAAGGTGTTATAAAGAACAGGCTGACTGGAAAATGTCCAGAGCAGATAGATGGAGGAGACAAAAGAACTTTAAGGAAACAAGTATGAAAGAACAGTTTGTACACTAGAGGAAGTAAAAAGCAGTCTATTTTAAAATCAACAGAAAAGAAGCCAATTTGGCTGATGCAGAAGCAGGAGTCCATTCAACTCTCTTTTAAAAAACTAAAATTGATACTCATGGTTTAGAAAAAAGTTTCCAGTTCGGGGTATGAAGTGAAACAAGTAGAAATTTCTGGCCATATTTTCTAATTTCACTTTCTGCTAATAACTACAATGAAGAGTTTCCTGTTTATCTTACCAAAATTTAGTTTACAAACCTAAAGTCTATGTCTATGAAATGAAAAATCACATTCACAAATGAGATCATGTTATACGTAACTGTTTTCTATTTGCTTTCTTTAGCCACCAATATATCTTCCTATCTATACTAATAAAAGGGTAATATGCTAATTAGACTGGATGTCTTCCGGACATCCTTCTGGACAAAGCCATGTTGGTGAGGGCCGAGGCAGAGGCACTTAGGGGCAATCAGGCCAGCAGGGGAGAGCAGTTGGGGCAATCAGGCAGGCAGGTGAGCGGATAGGAGCCAGCGGTCCCAGATTGGGAGACGGATATTGGACTGCCGGTTTAGACCCAATCCTGGCAGTTGGACATTCCCCGAGGGGTCCTGGATTGGAGAGAGTGCAGGCCAGGCTGAGGGATCCTCCCTCACTACTCCCCTACCCCACTCTTCCCCCCTACCCCGTGCATGAATTTTGTGCACCGGGCCTCTAGTACTATATATTTAAATGAATTATTCGTAAAGAACATAGTTAATTAACCACCTGTTGATTGAGATTTCGTTGTTTTATTGTTTGGGTTTTGCCATTAGAAGCAGTGTGCAGTGTACACCCTTTGTGTCCCTGTGGAAGTGTAGTTGTGTGAATTACTAGAGGTGAAAAGACTAGGTTAAAGAACACATGTCTTTTTGAATACACAAACATTAACAAATTTCCCTCCTGAGTGATTGAACCTGCCAACTTCCCCACTCCCTTGTCAGCACTTCAAGTATGATCAGAGTTTTAATCTTAGTAATCTTATTGGGAAAATAGGACCTCTTTGTTTTAGTATTAATTTGCATTTTCTTAGGATTTTGTTTATCGACATTAAATTGTCCTACTGATTTATAAGATCTCTGATATTATGAAAGTTAGTGTGCTTTCTCCTCATTATAGCAAATATTTTCTTCCAGTGTATCATTTATCTTTTGACTTTATTTCATGCCATATATAAGTTCTTAATTTTATCACGTCTAGATTTTTGTATCGTGCTTGGGAAGGACTTCCTTCAGAAATTATTCTTAAAAGATACATAATGTAAAACAGAATAATGTTATAAGTCCAAAATTTATAAAGTGACTGAGTAATGGTTTAATGAAAGAAAGTTGTGAGACAAAACTATGTACATTGTGTTTTTTAGGTTTTCTCGTGGAGTTTCTAAAAGAAATGGCAGAATATCATCAGGCTAAAGAGACTTGTGACATGGACACTCAGACAAGTCCAATGTTGCCTAGCAAAGACTCTCTTGGTAATTTCAGGCTTTTTTCATGATTTCAGGTTTCTATTTTCTTTTTGAATGAAGAAAAAGATCTGCTTTCCTATGTTGTGTGTGTTCCTAAACTGTGTGCAGGTGGGGTGCTCATTTCCCATTGTGTCAGCACAGTCCTATCTTCAGTGCTGCCCCTCCCTCTGTGATCACCAGGTGGATGCAGAGGCCCATGTTCTTGTTTGTTGGGTCAAACCCCTCAACTGGGAGGCTCTTTCCTGTGACTCATCTAACTTTATCTTATAGCCATTAACATGAGAAGATCCTAGACTATTTGCGTTGCGGAAAACTAGAGAAGTCAGTGGCCCGTCATTTCATGTTATAGTTGAGGAAACCAAGGTCACCAGATGAAGGAAAAGTGATACTGGAGTTCAAGTTTTCTGGTCCATGATCCAGATCCTTTTCCATGTACAGCCTTTCTACATACAGTACCATCCTGCCTTTAGGCGTATGCTCAGAAGGGAAACAGGTGGCTAAAATGCTGTGATTAATCCTGGCTCCTCCTTACTCATTAAAAGCAGTAACTTGTTAGACAATAAATTCAAATATCTTAATCTGATTCTGCCAGCCTTTTTTCCTGTGCATACTTTTTAGTGGGCACTGGTACTTACATGATTGAGATTGCACTCTCGTGTGGGTTTTGCACTCTGTTAATGTTTGATTCTGATCCACATTTGGTTTGAGGGCTTCAGGTCTGCTGGAGAGAGCACTGGAATGAGAGAAATAGCAGACCTGGCTTTCGTCCCAATTATGCCATTATGTAGTTGCTAAGCCCTCTGGGAGTCACCTACACTGTATGGGCACCTGTGTCCTCTGTAAAATGGAAGACTTAAAACTAATAATCTTTGATTCATTTTAAGATCAGTGTTTTGAACATGTGACTCAGCTTTCACCAAAGACCATAAAAGAACTCTTTGGCACTTAGAGACTGGAAAGAGATGCCATTGTTTTCTGACCTACGTTTGGCTTTCTTTTCCCCTGACTTTTATAATGGAAATTTTCCAACATTCAAAAAAGTTGAAAGTTTTACAGTTCACCATTAAGTTTGTATTATGTTTGCTTGATCACTTTCTGTTCATCCAGTAATCTATCTCAATTTTTTGAATTATTTCAGAGTAAACTGCAGACCCCCCCTGTCCATATCCCTGTACTCTTCGCTTTTGAACAGACTTCTTGCTCACCTACCCTGAGTCCTCTACCCTGTTTGTGTTTTTTTAATAGCTGAGAAGCTTCAACATATTGATGATCAGTTTTCAGGTGATTACCCTGAGCATCCAACATTGAGAACTTTAGAAATAAAGTTAAATGAATATAAGAGAGAACTAGAACAGCATCTTCAGGCAGAAATGCATGAAAGGGTAAGTTTATCTTGTTGCTGTTAACAAAAGTGATATTTTTGCTTATCTTTTCATTCTTAATCTGAGGTATATAGGAAAATATCTAGAATCTTTAATGAACTAGAGGCCCAGTGCATGTGTAGGGTCCCTAGTGGCTACCTGCTGGCGGGGCCTCCTTTTCCCTGGCCACCTGCTGCCAGGGTGGGGCTGGTCTGGGGGGAGGGGCTGCAGGTAGTTGGCCAGCCCCGCCCCTGGTCGAACTCCTGGTGAAGGGTACAATTTGCATATATGGCTTTTATTTATATAGTTAATATGATATATACTGTTGTGCATGTTATTATTTTTCTTTCTACTTGCTGTTGTTTCTTTTTGCCTTTTGAATGAGTCTTACAGGAATAGTTAATGAGATTAAATTAAAGCTGAATTAAACTATAAATATAGGGTGTCCCAAAAATATATAAACACACCTTGAATAATTATAAAGGCAGTGTATATTAAAGCAACATTTTCACAATTGAGCTATCGGCTGTTAGGTGTGTATACATTTTGGGGGGGATACCCTGTATAATTAATGAATATTGAACTTAAACATGGAGAATTTGTTACTAATTGTTTAGTATTATTATTTACAATGATTTGTAGTCAATTTGCAGTTGAAGCATTTTAAAAATATTGAAGTAGTACAAATTAAAATGGAAGAGAAAGGAAAGTCTGAGAAGGAGTTAGTGGTTTGGGAATGATGTTGAGAGAGCTTGTCAAGCAAAATCTGAAGCCTTCTTGGGAAAAGATGTTCCTTAAGAGAATTCAAAAGCACTAGGAGGCAATATTTTAAAATCATTTACTGGGTGGCTCCTTCCTGCAGCTGCTAGTAGATTTGCTAAAAGTCCAGGGGTGAGATGGGACATTTGCTGGAACAATTGAGGACCTAGAGCAGTGATGGCGAACGTTTTGAGCTCGGCGTGTCAAAATTTTGAAAAACCCTAACTTTACTCTGGTGCCGTGCCACATATAGAAATATTCATAATTTTTTTTTGATATTTGCAACCATAATAAAAAAAGATTTATATTTTTGATAGTTATTTTATATATTTAAATGCCATTTAACAAAGAAAAATCAACCAAAAAATATGTATAAAATGAACAAAAACAGAAAAACAATGTACATTTAGGAAAAAATAATAATAAAAACAATGATAATCAAATGCTACGAAAACTAGAAATTAGTGACTTTTTTGGTGCTGAAGTTTGTCTGCTAATTCTTCAATTGCAGGTTCATACTTGGTGCACTTCAAAGCCAAGCAAGCGCCACTAACATCATATGTTGGCCGGTTTCTTTTGTTCGTTTTAATATTATTTAATGCTGAGAACAAAGTTTCACAAAAATATGTTGATGAAAAAAATGTTAGCAAAGCCATCGCTAGATTTTTTATGTTGCTAAAAGTGTCAGGAACTCTGTTCTAAGCACTCAAAATTTCTTGTTCATAGTTGCACTCTTCTTCATCATTCAAACGATTTTGTTCCAGATTTTCAAGTTTCGACCTTAAGTCGACAAACACATGAGT